ATGTAAATGAGTATAGCAAAATAAAGTAAAATGTGACATTAAACCCAGAAATTCTTCATACAGTGGACTACCAGTAAAACTTATAAAAATGTAGGACCAAAAATTATTCAGACACTTTGACCTGACCGTGTTTTGCGTAAGTATTTTTTAAATTGCTAATGCAAACTTTTTACACCACAGACTGAACAAAATTAAGCATTGCTTGGTAATTGGTTGACCTAAACTGATATTATCTAATTGTGTACTTAAGTTTCACAGCGGACAGCTATTCAACCTAATTCATTACATAGCTTTCTATTAAAGTTATCTGACATTATCAAGATGAGTTTGTTCTGATGCAGTTTAACTCTTAACTTTTATTACCATTTTCTAAACTATAGCGAATTAACTGATAATGTGAAAAATCTTGAAGGCGTCTGAATAAATTTTGGTTTAACTGTGTTTATATATATATATATATGTGTGTGTGTGTGTGTGTGTGTGACCCTGGACCACAAAACCAGTCTTAAGTCACTGGAGTATATTTGTAGCAATAACCAAAAATACATTGTATGGATCAAAATTATTGATTTTTCTTTTATGCCAAAAATCATTAGGATATTAAGTAAAGATCATGTTCCATGAAGATATTTTGTAAATTTCCTTCTGTAAATATATTAAAACTTAATTTTTGATTAGTAAAATGCAATACTATATTCAAGATTTTCAAAAAATTTATGTATGTATCTCGGCCAAATATTGTCCTATCCTAGCAAACCATACATCAATGTAAGATCATGTTCCATGAAGATATTTTGTAAATTTCCTTCTGTAAATATATTAAAACTTAATTTTTGATTAGTAATATGCAATACTATATTCAAGATTTTCAAAAAATGTATGTATGTATCTCGGCCAAATATTGTCCTATCCTAGCAAACCATACATCAATGTAAAGCTTATTTATTCAGCTTTCAGATGATGTATAAATCTCAATTTATATATATATATATATATATATATATATATATTTTTTTTAAGCAGATATTTTATGTTTACATTTTCAAGTATTGCACTTTATTATAGACTAATATTTTATGCTAAAAGCTTTTTTTTTTAAATTCAGATGTTTTTGAATGTGGTCCTAAGTTTGAATCCAAGGACATTGTATTTCTGGTTTTCCCCATCACTGTTTGACTTTGTTTGTGTGACATTGTGTTATTTATGTCATATTGTGTATCTCTGTAGCACTCTAAACAGTAGCATCTACCAGGTGGCTGTGTGACGCTGTACAGTCACTCAGTCGACAGGGTGATCTGTGTGGTATATGGTGACCATGTTCCCTGGCATTCAGCATTGTTAGTACGATAGCCCTATTGATCAATCTGCTGTTAAATGTTTAAAAGTAGCCCCGCAGGGAGCAAAGATGGATCATGTTTGGATCCACAGGTGTGTGCCAAGTCCTGTCTGGTCTTGTGGTTTACTGGAAGAACATTCACCTATAAAATAAACCCCTTCATTCGTACTGCACTCAATCTCCTAGTACGTGTGAGGTTGGGAGTGAAATTTATTTATTTTTTTTAGAGATTTGCGGATTTAAAAAATGTATCTTGTAGATTGCATTATTTAATAAGCCACAATTTTGGACAAGTTAGTAAAAGAGTCTTTTTAAAAAAAAAATTTTTATGATTCGCATTAGACAGAATGTAGACTGTTTTACAGTCTGTTGCAATTATGAGCGTAATGACCGCTGGATGGCTGCTCCCTCGAGCAATAGCACACTGTTTCTCTGTTTCTCTCCTCCTATAAGATGACATCCTCCTTAAGTGTTCTTCTGCACACTGGGCTTTCAGTCCTCCAGGGTCCTTGATGAGAGGTCTAATGACAGATGAATGTTCCTAGATTCTGCCATCCAGACCTTGGCTCTCATAGAGATAATCTGATTATCCCAGACACTAGAACTTTACGTCAGTGGAAAATTAGAGGCTAGTATTCGTTCTTCCTCATCCTCTGTGCTCTTCAATTCTCTGTAGACACACTGTATAAGCAGCTCTGTTCCAAAACTTCATCACTTCATACTGCCTACGTAGTCAGCTACCTTCTAAAAGAGCATCTTAAAAGGTAATTGAAACATATAATTGACTGATTTGGAACAATTTATATACAGTAAGCAGAAAGTAAGTACACCCCACCAATTGCATTCCGCACAGGATATTTGATTTTAAATTGATTTCAACAGTTTGGTGTTAGCATGTTGCTAAGCTAATGATGTGATTACTCTAAGCATCAAAAAGCATAGTCAAATACTCAGTAAAATAATACATATTTACATACACAGACTGTTATATTGATTCAGCATTGAATGACATGCATAGATTTGGTCAGTGAAAAGCAAACAAACAAACAAAAAACATCATACATTTATTCAGCAAGGATGCATTAAAGAGATTAAAGGTGACAGTAAGGACATTTTTAATGTAACAGAAATGTGTGATTTCAAATAAGTGCTGTTCTTTTGAGCTTTCAGTTCATGGAAAGTAAGAGAAAGAAATGTATTAAGATTTCTACAAAAATATTAAGCACCTGTTTTCAACTTTGATAAGAAGAAATATTATGCACCCAATCAGCATAGGCCTATTAGAATGAAAGATCGTGTGACACTGAAGACAAGAGTAATGGCTACTGAAAATGTTGCTTTTAAAATTACATTTTAAAATATATTGTCATAGAAACTGTAATAATATTTTAAACTATTATTGTTTTTACTTGATTTTAGCCAATATGGTAGCATAAGTTTATCTGTTTAATGACATTTTTGCTTTATTTTTATTTATTTATTTATTTATTTTTTTGCTTTGCAAAATTTCCATTCCTGTGAAAATCTTATTGAAAATACTGGGTCTCCCTTGAGAAAATTTCCATAACAATGCTAAATGTGATTACACCCAACACAGGCTCTGTCTCACTAATTAACGTTAAGGGTAAGAAATAGACATTAATAGAAACAATAATGCCAACTAAGAGAAAGATTTTGCTCAATTGATTTGTCCCTTTAGGCTCTGCTGTGCTTAATGATAGTGCAGTCATAGGAAATTAATCAAATCTCTAATTGTCTTTAGTGGGATGAGAAGCACGCTCACAGGAATTTGATAACAGCCTCTGTGTTCATATGCTGTCTCTGAATTTATTATAGGCTGCTCTCGTTGATTTTTGTTTTATTTACACATAAATGTCTGGAAAAGTGTGTAAAGGATAGAGGAGCCACAGTATTAGCTACTGGCTATTTTGCAGATGTATTATATATTTTTTACAGTGAACGGTGAAAGAACAGTTGTGATTTTTCCACATGACAAATAGATGAAGAAGTCAACAAACACAACAGCAGCATAAATGTAGGCAGCAAAACAATAAATAGTAGCATAGCTTTATTTATTCATGCCCCAGTGCATTGCTGAGAACTCGATTACCACATTCATCACAGTTTTATTATCCACAGATTGCACATCTTGCTTAGATATGCTCACATTTCACAGAAATTCTGATTGTTTTGTGCTTCTAGTTTATGTGCAGGGGCCTATTCAAATGTATTTGCTGTACCTGATTTTCTCAGACTGCATGCTTTTATTGGTCATATTGCCCAGCCCTAATTTGTGTATTGTTTGCCATTTTAAGAGCAGATGTATTCACACCTCACAAAATGTGGTAAGGAAGTTGGAATGGAAGCACTGGATAATTGGCCCAGGTTAAATTGTTAACCATTATACTGCCTCTCGTGTATGGTTAGCAGATGCTCTTGTCATTAGTGTGGTAATCTTGTGAAGACTGTATTCAGCATTCCTTCAATCCCCATATCACTCAAGAAAACACAAACCTGTGATGCAAGGGCTACAGAAAACATCTAACCCACCAGACCACTGAGACAATGTCATGCATTTTGGCTACTGAACACACATTCATTTAGTATGTCAAGACAATTTTCAGGCTTTAGAGGAAGTGTAGGCGATCCACCATTGTTTCTCCCACCCTCCGAATGAGATGAAACTGTTTCAGTGCCGTCTCTTTTTTTCCTGATGTCAGATGGCATTCATCCAGTTTTAAAAGATGAATCACTACAATTCCTTTCAGACCACAAGGATGGCAATATTTGGCAACCCACCCTGCACTGGACTTGGTTTAGAATCTGTTCATTTTAAAACAAAAATGTTTGGCTAAAGAGATACTATTGTACTGCCATCTTTCATTCGGTTGCATGAAACCGTAACCGATATAGACTTTAGCAGTAATAATTAAATTATAATTAAGAAAAAGTCAGTCACACAAATTCCCTATAGTGCTGTAATAAATTTAGTACTCAGAGGAGTGGAGATGCAGCAATGGAATTAGGCTCCGACTGCTTTACTGCTCTTGCCAAAAATGCAATTTTAAAGCTAAAGCAAGTAAGATAAAGGGACAGAGGTAGGCACGACGAGCCGGTTGCCTTAGAAACAGCTGTGTAAGAGAGTAGAGGGGGTTTAAGTATCTGTATGTGTCTGCTGAATCAGCAGTCTCCATGATCCCCTAACAATCACAACCAATATGTTAGAGCAATTTGCGAATAAATGGGCGCTAGGAGAAATCTTCTCTTAGCATGCCTCATAAACACTTTGTGTACGGCCCGGTGTTGTATATGCTGTTGAATCAAAGAGAAACTCTGTCAGTTTCACTCACTAGTCTAAAACGATCTTCTTTACAGAGCGATGACCAGTAGATTGCATTTCACATTCTTTTATACCTTTGCAAAGACCCTGGGATCTCTGCAAAAAGCAATTACTTGGACAATAAGAAGGATTATGGCTGTATAGGTATGGATGTGTTATTGTGAAATGTGTTAAAAAGATTATTCCAGGGGCTGTTATTGAAGGATGGGGGTTCAAGAGAAGCCTGTGGAGATTTGGTCTCCTCCAGGATCTTCTGATGTTTATTTCTCTCTGTACCTCTGTTCCTTCTCATTTTCTACTCGCATTACTTCTGTCTCTTTGCAGGCCAATGATGCCTCAGGGAACACCTGGAACTGGCTCTACTTCATCCCACTCATCATCATCGGCTCTTTCTTCATGCTCAACTTGGTTCTGGGGGTGCTGTCAGGGTAAGTCTGAAATCAGAGTCATCAAATTAGTCCAAACAGCGTGGGAATGTTTTGGAACTCTGTGTTGTACACATGCAAGTAAACTTTTTCAGGATTCTTAAAAATATTTCTTTAAAGTAAATTCCTGGCCAGGGGTTGCTAAAGATGACATAGTCATTAATGGTAAAATGGAGGAACTATTTATTTATTTGAGAATGCCTTATATTCAGAAATTAATTAAATTAAAGTAAAATTTAATTAAAGTAACAAAGAGGATGCGGTGAGAAAGGATGTGTTCAAATTTGATTTGAGCTTGAATTTAATTTAGGTTATTTTTTTTCCTTTTATAAAATAATATACTGTACATTTCAATTTAATTCGGTATGAATTACCCATAAACAAATTATCATACAACCTATGGGATATTTAAAAAAACATTAGACTCTTTAATTAGTTAATCAGAATTAATTAAAATGAACAAATTAAAATAATAATAATGATTAATTATTGCTTTAAATATACCTATTCCTTGCAATTAGTTAAGTATTCTTCCTATCATTTGCACTTGGTCAGTTCAGTTCAGATCATCCGTTTTACTCTTGTCTCTTCTGCAATTTCATGTAACCCACTAAACTAATTGTTCACCTTTAGAATTCATGATCTTGTTTGGCTGCACACATAAATTTTAAACAATTTGGAGCCAATACAAAGCATACAGTATCCATTTAATGCTTATGTGCGAAACAAACAAACAGCATCCATTTAAAATTATTCATGGGATGCCTCTTTTAGCTATAAGGTGGGCTCTTTTGAAATAAATGGGCTTTCCTAAACCATTGAAAGCCTCATAAAATAATTTCTGTCCTACAGGTTGGAATCTGTTCACCTACAGCTTATGCATATCCAGAGTAGAAGCAACGTTAAGTGCAGTAGAGCCCTGTTTCTCAATTCGATTAGGCAGCTCTATTTTGCCAATGCAGTGTTGGTCACAATTAGGTTTTTCCTCCATCAATTGTGATTGAGCCAAAAGCCACATACACTCCCTATAACAAATAACACACCCTCACACTAAAGCATCTTTATATTTCCCTCATGCTTTACGTCTCTCTCTCTCTCTCTCTCTCTCTCTCTCTCTCTCTCTCCCTCTCTCCCTCCCCCTCTCATCTGTTTGCCTTATTCTCTCTCTCACACACAAATACTGTTTTAATGGAAAGTCTCTGGATGAATGCTTTGTGGTGAACTCTAGCTGCTGGTGGGATTTGAATGTATGATTTCCTGGAAATCCTCAATCTAATGTTCACTGTATGTCACTGAATGTTTCTTCATGTCTGTGTTGCTGTTGTGTGGCATTCAATATTTATTGTTGCTCCTTCAGAGGGACTCTAACATCCTTTGACTTCTCTGCTTTCAAGGCTTTAGTCGAAAAGATTCATTCTCACGTGGTGATGCTGGTCTCTCTCTGAGGAGTACAGTAATCCCAGAATGACAGGAGAGCTATGAGAGTGAGAGTCTTTCCCTTCAAGCTTTATCTTTGGCATCATTTCATCAAAGAACACTGAAAAAATGGATCACTGTTCTTGTGATCCATTTGCTGCTTATGGTGTTTTATAAGCAGTAAATCATTATATTATAATGATTTTTGTAGGATCATGTGACACTGAGTATTTGCTACTGAAAATTCAGCTTTGCCATCAAAGAAATAAATTACATTTTAAAATATATTTTAAAACAAAACAAAAGTTTTTTTTAACTGTAATATTAATTTTTTTTTTACTGTGTTTTTAATCAGATAAATGTAGCCTTGGTGAACATAAGAGACTTCTTTCAAAAACATACTTTTTTACATACAACTTACCGACCCCAGATTTTAAGAAAGAAGTGTATGTAACAAATAAGACAATTGTCGACATTCAGTAAGATTATAGAGCCATTTCATTTGGGTAGCATTTGGTGTTTTTGAGAAATAAGAATGATTTGAGTTTTGATTTTTGTATTTGAACATTGTTCGAGACATTACTGAGATTTCTTCAAAAATTCTAGTGGTGACGTGAGGTTGCTTGGATCTTTTTCACAGAAGACAAATCTGAGAATCAGACCTTAGCCCATAGTACATTTGTTTGTACAGTGCAGTTGTCACTCCTGTAATTAATCACACGCTGTGTGTTATAATACTGATGAACTTGCCACTGTGTCCATATACACTCTTTCAGTCCCCCATCCGCTCTCCCTCTCTGTTGTTCTCTCTTAATTTTCATGCTCTCTCATCGTCCTTCAAGTAATGTTATCAGTCTCTACTCTTACAGTGTGAAATGTATTCATTTAAAGCTGTTTTTAGCTTAAAGGTGAAACAGGCCCTCAAAGACACATTCTTGAGAGGATTTGCATTTAAGTTGTTTTTTTACGGTTACAACTGGCAGAAAATGTTCATGTGCACAGCACATTCAGGGATGTGTGTTTCTGTGTGTATGGAAGTGACAGAATATTTATGCAGTTTTTACCATACAGGGACTCTATCTGTTTTTATGTGCTGTGAGAGTTCTCTAACTGTGTATCTGTCCTCATGGTAACCTAGTTCAAAACTACTGTGCATTCAAGATTGCTTGTGCAGCCTCCAAATTATCACACTTGCAAAGGCTTTCTACAAACTCCTTCTGAAGTGTGAAATGTCTACACACCACAGGCCGCAAAGTATGACGGGAACTCAGGAGCATATCTAATTAGGCTAAAATAAAGTGTTACATAAAGGCATGGCACAGGCTTCTCTAGCTGTGTCCTTCTCCTTGTGAGAAAGTGAGCTGGCCCAGAAGACTTTGCAGCAGTTATGTTGTTTTGTTTCTGTTGCTTAGACTTATTTAAGTCTAATTGTCTTGAATATTATATTAATTTATATTATATTATAAGGAATGTTGATCTTTGTTTTGTTCACCACTTTCTTTTTTTTTAACCTTTGCTAGTTTACTTTAAATGGTTCTGAAGTGTGAAAATGTATTTTTAAAAATACAAATATTGCATGTAATCTTTTATATGAGATCATAAAGCTTCCTGAATTCATAATAAAATACATTACTGTTTGAGGTCGGTATGATTTTTTTATGTTTTTGAAAGAAGTCTTTAATGGTCACTGTATTTTTTTATTTTAATATATTAAAAAATATATATTAAAAAATAATGTTCCACATTTACATCTGTTTTGGTTCACTTACGTCGGTGCTCGTGCTGGGGCTTGTTTGGATGCCGATTTTGGAAAGTTGTTTGGATGCTGATTTTGAAAAGTTTTTGCTGGGATGGGTATTTTAAAAAATCTGAAATTCGCTTTTGTGCCATTATCTCCTTGTATTAAAGTTAATCTTGTTCGCGTTCTGTACAGTTCATGTCTGATACCACGCGCTAGCATCACGTGTTCATGAGGATTAGGCTAATCATCCCAAATAGAAAACATCACAAATGAAATTAATCATGTTTATAAAAATAAACATTGGTTTATTATAGCCCACTTACAATTTACATTTCAGAGATCATTACAAATAAATTATTAAATGCTAAAACTGAATAAATTTAAATGAACAAACTTGGCATTGCATTTGCAACCATGTGAAAACAGGGGGTGCTGCAGCCCCCTCAGCACCCCTACTTCCCGCGTCCCTGTTTTAATGAATAGAAAAGAGTTCATTTGAATTAGAAATCTTTTGTAGCATTTTAGACGTCTTTTCTGTCAATTAAATTCATTTTTGCTGATCAACAAAAACAATTAAATTAGATGGAGTATACTGTAGCATGTCATGTATTTTTATTCCAATAGTGTTTGAAATGTTGGTATTTGTTGGAGAAATGTGAAGGAACCTTTAGTCATCTGTGGATGCACTGGTTGCCATGGTGCATGCTGTGTCTCTCAAGATTGTGTGCGGGGGCCGGGAGGTTAGTTCACCTGTCTGACCATGCTGCCTTCAAAGCAAAAGGCCACCGTGAGGGCTCATGGAGAGACGAGAGGACTGCCCCGGGGTGGGGGTTTCGAGAAGAGGTGGGCAGTCGTGTCATCTTCTCAGTGGGTAGTTGGGCAGCAGGAATCCTGCTAGAAGGCAATTCATAGCCATTTCATCTTGTTCTCTCTCACCCCACCATGGCCTTTGACCTTGACTGCATGAGCAGCCCCATTACCAGTGATGTTTACTTCATGAAGCACAGCTTCACCTGTATTTACCTGAGAAATTGTTGATCTTAAAATTATTTTTGTCTGAAAAAATTCAAACTAAAATATTTAAATTCAGGCATCAAAGTATTATAATTCACAGCATGAAAAATGGATAAATATTAGATAGACCCCCTGCAGTAAAAATCAAGTTTTGAATGTTTACGTGTCTGCTTGGTGTTTTTAATATGCTTTAAGACCAACCATGTCCAAATTCATCAGTCAATACCATTGCGGAGCACTTTCTCCTTAAAACTGCAGTGTATCTTAGGCTACGACCTAAGGATGTTGGTTTTTAGAAGTCAGCTGTCTGAGATGGCAAACGGAAACATGGTTTGTGCTACATTAGCAATATGTTATTAGCTGTTTGATAATGTAGTCAAGCTAAAGGCTAATGGTATCAATAACCGTTATGTGTTAGAGAGCGATACAATGCATAAACATTCTGCTACAGATGATTCTGTATAATTCCCTCTTCCTCTTCTTCTCTGGTTCAGTCTGGTTCAAACATATATGGCTGAATTAACCCAGTATTGCCATTTGCCATTGTGTAGCGTTTATTGCTTCAGTTAACTGAGTGAAAGTGGGGCAGGAAGTCTGCCCTGAGATGCTGTGATTGAGTAAAGGCGGGGACTAATTTGCATATTCATGATCCCGTGTATATTAAATGAGGTAAGGGTGTAGAGTTACATTCAAGACATTTTAAGGCAGGAAGATAATTTTTCACAAGAAAAAAAATCTTTAAATATGTCATTTTGATTATCAAAAATGAGTTTTAAGGGATACAGTTATTGACTGCAGGGGGACTTTAAATGGCTCTCCCAAAAATGAAAATTCTCCCTCAGAGAGGGAGAAAGAGAGCCACAGAGTTAGTATTCCCTCACTTCTGTCACACACTTACAAGAAGTACACACATTCACTGTCACTGTCACACTGCCACTGCAATGCAGGGAGGAAAAAAGAGGATTTCCCCCACATTTGCAAATGGGAATCCTGCTGAAGAACGGAGTATGTTGTGTTCTGAATTCTAGTGCAGCATCACGTTCTTAAATGGATAGTTCACCAAACAACGAAAATTGTGTTATCAATTAATGTTGTTCCAAACCTGCATGATTTTCTCTCTTTTTTTTGTGACGCACAAAACAAGATATTTAAAAAAATGTTTATTTGTTGTCCATACTGTAAGAGTCAGTGGGTCCAGTGGGATGTTGCTTTTGGATCCCATTGATTTTTATTGTATGGACTAAAATACATGGAAGCCTTTATTCTAAATACACATTTTTTGTGTTCCATAGTTTTGTATTCCTTAAACTTTCATAGTTGTAAATAATGCAAAGGTTATTGGAGTACATTTGACAAGAAAAGTTTCTTGTTTCATTCAGTGTGTTACTTTCCATTTCTTTAACATTAATTGTGAAATTCACTAGCAATTTCTGAGTAAAAAAAATTTTCTACACCAGTTTATTTATTTATTTAGGTTTTGCAGTTATTTATTTATGTTTTTTGCAGGATATGCTAATCCACTAGCTATACCACCAAAAAAAGTCAGTTAATTTTTTTCAGTTATTCTCATACAGCATTGTCTAATGTAATATTTACACTCTTTTCTGTCTTGTACTGCTTTCCTATTTTCTTTTTTCTGTTCACATTCCCTTCCTGCTCCGATCACATTCTCAGGTAACATTTTCATTCCAGGAGCATTGCATCCTTCACATTCTGTCCACCCTACTTTAGTTTTCTTCTTTGCATTTATAGCTCTTTTTCACCTCCTTTCTGTACGCTCTGCGCACCTGCGTTAAACCGTAATGGTGGTCAATCATCACGCTGTCCTCTAATTGGCATGATAACAGATGGCAGGTTGTGAGGGGGCACAAACAGTGCATTTTTTCCCTTATGTGCTCCTACATAATCATGTTGCAAAGAAAGCTATAATGCTTATGAAAATGAATGGGACTCATTTAATAACCAAGTCGGAGAAAAATATGCCTCTCACAGGCAAAGCATGACCATTTGTCAGTAAATGCCACTTTTTTTCGACCTATGAGCTAAATATCTAATCAAGGTGTCACTACACAGTTTTGTCATACTGTGGGGTGAAAGTTAGATTAGATGAGAGAAACTGTCTAGCCCTGTAGGTGCATTACTGAGAATAATGGATTGACCTCTGTTTCCTTGTGAGGCTGTAACGTCTCTTGAGGAAGTTAATCAACCATTTTGCATTAGTCAATTCAACTAGTTTGTGTCCTTAAAGCTGAAGTGCACCATTATCATCTTCAGTTAGAATTGTTTTAGTTTTAACTAATGATGATGGTTTTTATTATATTGTGTATAAAAAAAAAAAAATAAAAAAAAAAAAATATATATATATATATATATATATATGTACATATATATATATATAACTGCTCAAAGGTTTGGGGTCAGTAAAATTTTTGGTACAAGAAATTAATAATTTTTAATTCGGCAAAGGTGCATTAAGTTGATCAAAAGTCACAGTAAAGACTTCTACATGGTTAAAATATATTTTAATGTTTTAAAATAGAAAACATTAATTTTCTGATACCAAACTTTTGAACAGCACTGTATAGTATTAAACTGTAGCATATATAATAATATACAATATTATTATATAATACTATTATCTAATAATTTTCTATTTTAATATATTTAAAATGAATTCCTGTGATATTTTCAGCAGCCATTACCCCAGTCTTCAGTGTCACATTCTAATATGTTGATTTGGTGTTGAAGAAACATTTCTTATTATCAGTGTTAAAAACGGTTATTCTGCTTAATATTTTTGTGGAAGATGATACATTTTTTTAAATAGAAGTTCATGAGAATGCCATTTATTTGAAAATTGAAAATTTGAAAATGAAAATAAGAATGGCTTAACTATCTGACTCTGTATATTAAGTTAGCATAGGAGAAGGAATTTTAACAATTAAAAAGAAATTGCACACTTCAGCTTTAAGTGAGCCATAAACCGTAGACTTTTAGCTGTTGTTTTCTATTGATTCTAAAACATTGATTTTTCTACTGCTCTTGCAAATGTGGATGCCACACCTTGTACTTGCTTTTTCTTCTAACGTTTCATTTTGGTGCATTTATCTCATTCACTTTTGCTTTACAACCACGTACCTTATGGTTTCATCAATGGGTGTATTTGCTTTTGTAGATGCATCACTAGATGCACGCATGCTCTATACACATGACCTGTGCCATAGAGCAGGGCTCCCCTGATGCCTCTGTGCAGTACAGTGTGTTCATGGATGTGTGTTTATGTGTATTTGTACAAACAGGGAGTTTGCAAAGGAGCGAGAGCGTGTGGAGAAAAGGCAGGAGTTCCTGAAGCTTCGCAGACAACAGCAGATCGAGAGGGAGCTGACTGGCTACCTGGAGTGGATCTGCAAAGCAGGTCAGTCTCTCAAGTGAACAATATCTTCATTAACACTTGACATGTAATATGTCCACAGAACCCATTTTCAAATCCAGAGATCATTTTTTCAAGACTTACCTGAGAATTATCTACGTTGCAACCACCGGAAGGCCTTGGTCTGTTCTCTACAGAGTGTTCTGTCCCCTCGTGCTTTTTTCTCCCATGACTGTTTATCTCACTCTCTTCCCGGATGTCTTCTCGGCCACGATGGGAGCTGATGTATCTGTGCCTGTCTGTTGCTCAGCACTTCCTCTCTCCATGGCAACCACATATAGCCTTCCACTCACTCCACCAGCTGGTTCATACCCTCAGTCTTCCCATGACTGCCTGTAACAGCTCTTTCATCAGCCAGGACTCAGTGTGTTGGTGCTTTCCGTAGCTGTGGATTTGCACTGATCTGGGGCCAGTTTAGTAATAGTAATTTTCTAAGAATTTTCACCTGTTACTCCATACTCCATGCATTAATATTAATGCTAATATAGTTCGATTGCAGTATTTGTACTGTGTGAACAGCGTGATACTGCATTCCTAAAACTGCATAGAAAGTTAAATTATTATTATAACTACACTAAACGTTTTTTTGTAATGTGTCTCACTTGTCAAAATCAACAGAAAATCAGAGGTCTCTTTTGCTCACCAAGGGTGCATTTATTAGAACAAATGTACTCTAAAGATAGCAATATTGTGAAATATTATTGCAATTTGCAATAACTGTTTTAATATATTTTAAATTAATTCCTTTGATAGGAAGGCTGAATTTTCAGCAGACATTACCCTAGTCTTCAGTGTCACATAATTATTCAGAAATCATTTTAATATGTTGATTTGATGTTCAAGAAACATTTCTTATTATCAGTGTTGAAAATTCTTATTCTACTAAACATTTTTTCAGAGTTCTTTGATGAATAGAAGTTCATGAGAATAACACCTTTGAACCAATGCATTTGAAAGCTATGTTAGTAATGAACACAATATTTTGAAATATAGGCTTTTATGATGCAATATGAAATATTGGAACAAATTTCCCTGCCATTGTTTGAACTATGTCAAACGTGAGGATTTTCCACATGCAGTGCCAGGCACACAAATACTTTTCATTCAATAAATCTGACTGAATCCAGATGATTACAATTTTTAAGCTACACTTTTGGTTTGGGCAGTCTACAGTTTTGTGCACATTCATGACCATTCGGATGAAAATTTGATGTTCATCCTCATGTTCATTAGATTTCATAATGATGTAATGTAATAATATTCAGGGACACTTCCAGCAACCATTTTACAATTAATGGCTATTATTAATTGAAGTACCCAACGGACAAAGCCCTTGATTTTCCATGTAGATGCACATGCAGGATGTATGAAACCTTAGAATGTTACAACAAATAATATAACAAGAATAAATCTGAAAAAAGGAATGAAATAGTTTCCCTAAAGGAATGTTTTGGCTTTTAATGTTGATGTTGTTGGTCTTTTATAATTCTACCTCTCATCCTAATACTGTAGTTTCTCTTAAGGTGGCAGAGTTTCTTGTAAAACTACTGATCCTCCATCAGCACAGGGGTTAATTAGCTCTGTCACAGCATGTAGTATCCTCCGTTTTGTTTCCCAGAAGCCCACTAGTGCTCTTCCATGGGGATTTATTTGGCTTAGAGAGGTGATTTCCCGACTTTTCCATGGTGGCCCAGCTTTGATGTTTAACACCATAGATTCATGATGGAATTAAATGCTTACAGGTGCTTTGACTTCTTCATGTATCTTGCTACAGCCATTCTAGTCAGTTCGATATTCACTGCATTGTTTAAAACGTTAATGTGTTGGGCGATACAGTGCTCACTGCTGTCCCTGCCTCCTGCTGGATGTTTGTCAGATCTGCAGTGACAGCAGTGATTACTGTGTGTGGCATCAGGTTACAATAAGCCTTACAGTGGTTGCTTTTGTCTGTCTCTTCTCCTGTGCAACCACCCAGAACACCATAGCAATCACATAGAACTACCTACCAACCACATAGTGTAAGTAGTAAAATATCTTTGTTTCAGAGGAAGTAATGCTTGCTGAAGAAGATAAAAATGCAGAGGAGAAGGAGGATGGTGCCTGGTACAAGAGGAAATGCAACAACCCAGGTAACCATTGACAAATAAATTATTGTATTTGTTCATTATTAGTGCATGAGTCTTAATTACTACTAATAATAATGAATAAAAACATGTAATTTTTTAATTTACTATATTCTTTATGAATTTATTATTATATTTTATACTACTACTGTTTATTTACTATTCACTTTCCAACATGTTTAGTATTGAAGAGAGCCAAAAAGAGCAAAAATGACCTCATCAATGCAGAGGAAGGAGAAGACCACTTCACTGACATCCCATCAGTCGGTAAGATCCAGGCCCATTGCCTGTGACCTTTGAACTCAAGATGGATTTTCTCCCAAAATCAGGATGGAAAATAAAAGCAGATTTAAAAACCAGAGGCAAAGTGTCATAAAACTTGCATCTGTGGATGTTTTTTTTTTTTTTTGTGAAACATAAAGAATAATGACCAAAATAAAAGTGGAGATTGAGAGAGTGGAAAGATGGATAAAGACGATGTTAACAAATCAGAATGGCTGTGTTGACTCCCTCTCCTCTCTTCTCCTCTCCATCATCTGTGAGCTTTTGTGAACATCTGAAGCAGTCTCTCTCTCCGCAGCTCCCCAGGGCTCTCCATTCACCCGTACAAGCGTGAAGAGCAGCAAGAACGAGAGCTCTTCATACTTTCGCAGAAAAGAGAAGAGGTTTCGCTTCTTCATCCGCCGTATGGTGAAGGCCCAGAGCTTCTACTGGACTGTTCTGTGTATAGTGGGACTGAACACACTATGCGTGGCTATAGTTCACTACGACCAGCCCGACTGGCTCACATATGCATTGTGTAAGTGAACCGCATCTTTAAAACATCACTACAGCTCTCTGGAGGGTCACAGGTTTATGTGAACTATATTTGAACATGGCCTAGGTGCACTGGGAGTAATTTAAACCCTCAAAAAATCAATGCAAAACAAGTGCTTTTAAATAATATACTCCTTGTATTTGCATTATTAATTGTACAACTTTTAGCTGAATTTTAGTTTTACATAAAACTGCCCCTGTTGTGATTGCTGTGTTTCGTAAGTTAAAGAGTCATTAGATTAAAAATGTAATTAAATTACATTATACACCGATCAGTTAATGAAGTTAATTTCCAATAAATAAGCAAGAATGCATTAAATTTATCAAAAGTGACAGTAAAGACTTTGTTACAAAAGATATGTTTTAAATAAATGCTGTTTTCTGTTTTAACTGCCATTTTAAAAAAAGAATCAAGAAAAAAAATATTTCACGATTTTTACAAAAACATTAAGCAACATCAAATCAGCATATTAGGATCATGTGACACTGTAGACTGGAGTAATGGCTGCTGAAAATTCAACTTTCACCAGAATAAATTACATATTAAAATACATTAAAATAGAACACCGTAAACTGTAATAATATTTCACAATACTACTGCTTTTACTGTGTTTTTGATTAAATAATGCAGCATGTGTTCTCTCAAAGACACTGTGTTATTACACAAAACTTAATTTCTGAACTTATTTGTTTTGTTTTCTTTGTATTTATGGATTACTTGGGTTGTTACCGACATCTGGTGAAAATTTCATGTCATGGAAATGTCAACAGCACCTTTGGAAATATATTTACTGAGAAAAATAGTGACGTGTTCAATACTTATTTTACCCGCTGTACATAAAAAAGTCTTACTTGACCCTAAACTCTTAAACGGTACTGTATATAGAAAATGTAAAAAAAATGTTTTGATCCATGCCAGGTGAGCTGTCTGTTCTGAATTGGGTTGTTACCGACATCTGGTGAAAATTTCATGTCAACAGCACCTTTAGAAATATATTTACTGAGAAAAATAGTGATGTGTTCAATACTTATTTTACCCGCTGTACATAAAAAAAGTCTTACTTGACCCTAAACTCTTAAACGGTACTGTATATAGAAAATGTAAAAAAAAATGTTTTGATCCATGCCAGGTGAGCTGTCTGTTCTGATGGTCAATTCATGCCTCAACTATGTTAATGTGTAAAGGATGTAACTTCCATAGTTTTTAGTCCACATACTAAAGAGTCCCTTGTAGCAGATTGGTGCCAAAAATGAGAAAGGAGCATTGCCCCACCTCTTGCATATACCTCTGCTTGCATGCCAACTGCTACTAATCATTAATTTGCCATTGAGCTGATGTTTTTATATAAGGCCACATGCACTACAGTTATTGCAGGGACAGCTCCCCCAAAAGATTTAAGGCTACACCACTCTGACTTGGCACCTTAAGACCACCACGATGGCTGGATGATTATACTTCAGCTCTATTAACTGTTATGTTACATTGAAACCTATTACAGAAGCAACAGAGTATGAGGATAATTTTGTCAGTGGGTTACTACATCTTTCACTACTGGCATGCCTTTTAAAAATGATGTGACTGACAAAGTCCATTGATAAATGCTTTTTTGTGTATACAGATTTGGCGGAGTTTGTGTTCCTTGGTCTGTTTCTAATAGAGATGAGTCTGAAGATGTATGGCCTTGGGCCCAGGACCTACTTTCACTCTTCATTTAACTGCTTTGACTTTGGGGTGAGTAACATGCCGTCAGATACTAATGATATGCGGGACCAACAACAGTATATGTTTCTTTTCCAGTTAATGCCAGAGGTACTGCCTTATAAGAAGCAGAAGAATGCTGATGTCCAGCTGAGCCCCCTCAAAGACAGCAGCTTAAAGACATTTGACAAAATATACGATTATAATGATAATTTTTGAAGTTATTGCTGGAAATGAGCTTTGTTTTCAAATATAAATTGTGCCTAGTGTATTTGTGTTCTATCTTTGGTGTGTTCAGGTGATTGTAGGTAGCATTTTCGAGGTGATTTGGGCAGCAGTAAAACCAGGAGCCTCTTTTGGCATTAGTGTGTTGCGAGCGCTGCGTTTGCTGAGGATATTCAAGGTTACCAAGTAAGAGATAATCTATGGTGCTCTGTAGATCATTGTCCTAAATGAATATATTTATACTAGGGGTGGGCGATATGACCAAAATCTTATATCACGATATGAGTACATTTATTTCACAGTAAAAATATATATCACAATATGGTTATTTTTGCTTAAATAAGGTCTTTATGATATCAACATTTTTGATACCATTTATATTTCAATATCTAATATTCAATATTAGTCAATATCACAAAAAAACTAATACTAGCCTAAAAAAAAAAAAAAAACTCAAGCTCACTGAAGACAAGTAAACAGTCAGCAATTTAATAAGAATAAGAAACTAATTACAAGCAATAGGACAAAAAAAACTACAGTAGAACAATAAACAAGAAAAGTAATCAAATGTATAAAAAACACTGCATATTCTTCACTGTATAAATTAAATATATATTTCTTCTTATTTAAGTTACAAACGTGATTTAGACACGAGCAGTGAGAGATTTTCTCTCTTTTGTTGAATGATTACCATGAGTGACAGACAGCAGGAATATTAGACTGCTGTCACTTTAAGAGCTGCCCGGATCCAATATACTGTTACACATGTGTTTTCTTTCTCCGCTGTTGGCTTTTATTTAAGACCTACTGTGTTTACAAGGATACTTGCAAAGACGGGCATTTTGACACATAAAAATATGTGGATTTAACCATTCAAGGCCTACAAAGTGGCAAAAATAACAGTATTCCAGCACCTCTATAAGCACTGTCTTCACATGCGTGCGTTCTCTTTCGCTGCTGATTGCATTTTGACTTAAAATCACTTAGTTTTAAACTGCAGTGCTTAATAATATGTGCAAATGATACGTTTTTGTGATCACATAGCACGGCAACGTCATGTGAGCATGTAACCACAATAGAGACTATAGTCCAAAAACTCTATCGGTTGACAGTTTCTCTCTTTTGTTGAATGATTACCATGAGTGACAGACAGCAGGAATATTAGACTGCTGTCACTTTAAGAGCTGCCCGGATCCAATATACTGTTACACATGTGTTTTCTTTCTCCGCTGTTGGCTTTTATTTAAGACCTACTGTGTTTACAAGGATACTTGCAAAGACGGGCATTTTGACACATAAAAATATGTGTATTTAACCATACAAGGCCTACAAAGTGGCTAAAATAACAGTATTCCAGCACCTCTATAAGCACTGTCTTCACATGCGTGCGTTCTCTTTCGCTGCTGATTGCATTTTGACTTAAAATCGCTTAGTTTTAAACTGCAGTGCTTAATAATATGTGCAAATGATACGTTTTTGTGATCACATAGCACGGCAACGTCATGTGAGCATGTAACCACAATAGAGACTATAGTCCAAAAACTGTCTTTGCGAGCAAACAAATTGAAAAAATGAACGATTTTGAAATTAGAGCAAAGCTGGCTCCTAAGCATACACATAAGGCTCATCCAAGAAAATGATTCACAGCTCATCATCTCTCTTCTAGGTTTAATTTTGAAGATGAGACCCCGACGACCAACTTTGACACATTCCCAGCTGCTATCCTGACAGTGTTTCAGGTATTGACCATCTGGTGATATGTGTCTGAACACTCTCATTTGATATGCATTTGAAATACAATATTTCCATAATATATTTTATCTCATAAGATTCTGACAGGAGAGGACTGGAATGCTGTGATGTATCATGGAATTGAATCCCAGGGAGGAGTGCACCGGGGAATGTTCTGCTCCGTGTACTTCATTGTGCTCACACTGTTTGGAAACTGTATCCTTTATATATAACATAGGACTGACATTACTGTCATGCTTTTTAATGGCCTAATTTTTCAAGTAAAGCAAACAAAATAATATGCACAAATGTTGGTTTCAGTAATGATACTCTATGTAAACTATAAAGTGCTGCATATTGCATGTACTGTATAAACTAAAGACACAAGACAGAGGTAGATATCTGCAACAGTATTCTTCACTAATGCCACAAAAACATCTGTATTTCTATGTCAGAAAGCACAGAAAATGCTAACACATAATAATTAAATAAATAAATAAATAAAAATAACTTCTCCCACACTTTATGCAATTTTAGGTGTAAAGTTGTTTTTGATGCTGACCTGCTCTTCTTCAGCATTATTTTTTGTACAAATAACTGACTCGTAGATGATATTTCACACTACCTTAGCTTCACTGATCATTAAATTCTACCACACGAAGAATGCAAATTACTTAATGTTTATTTGTCTATTTTAATACATTTTAATATATTTTAAAATGTAATCATTTGTGTGATGGCAAAACTGAATTTTCAGCAGCCATTGCTCCAGTCTGCAGTGTCACATGATCGAGTAGAAATAATTCTAATACTGATTTGGTGCTCAAAAGAAGAACAGAACAGCATTTATTTGAAATCTTTTATAACATAATGTTATCAATTTTTGTTATAAAAAAGCATTCATTTCTTTACAATAAATCTTACTGAGCCCAAACTTTCAGTGTGTGTTAAAAGATTGCATAAAAAAACTTTGGCAACCTGACTTGTTTGACAGTTTTATTAGATTAGATTCACTTTCACCCAAATTCCTTAAAGCACATTTGATCAGACACTCTCCTCAATGTCTTTTTGGCCATCGCTGTTGATAATCTTGCCAATGCACAGGAACTCACCAAGGTTGGTTGGGCATGATAAGGCTGTACATATGGCAAAAAATATGAAGAAGTCTTGTGGCAAATTATAAATGTTTTGGGTGCATAGGTTTAGTTAACAAAACATAGACAAAAAAGAAATCCACGCAACGTACAAATTCCATTAAAAAGTAGTATTTCACTGAAGATTATCATATAAAGTGACAACAGAATACAAAAGTGCACTAACAAAAAAGTGACTGCACAAAAAGACAAAAAAAACTAAACTTTTCAGTTCAAGGCTGTAGATATGGCCACATGTACGTACATTGCCAATACTAGTCACTGTCACAGCCATCCGTACAGTACCTGCAAACACACCACATGAGTCTCACATGTTGTGTACACCGAATGTGTGATCCTATCGCCATGCACTGACAGCTTTTATTAGTTTCATAAGACTGTCTGTACGGGCTCTTTTGATCTAACTGATGTTTGCCCTGGTCAATAACTCAAGGTAATGAAGCTTTCAGCCCATTGCGGGATTTACAGCCTTACGTGAAGCCGGTACCAACAGTATAGGGCCATAAGGCTTCTGGGACATCACTTTCTTGATTTGTTGATGCTAGTGGTGCTTGCCATTGGATACAAATTTTACTTGTCTGTCATTCTCTGTTTTTTCTGTCTTGCTCCTCTCTCAGGATGAGGAGGAGCAGGAGGAAGCCATCAGTAAGAAACTGGCTCTGCAGAAAGCCAAGGAGGTAAAGGAGGTCAGCCCCATGTCGGCCGCTAACATTTCCATCACAGCGTAAGTCAGGGGGCATTAAACCTGAAGTCAGGGTACTGCCCTCCCCTTTCACTAACCCTCCAAAACACCTATTAATCACCCCATCATGTCCTCTCATTGCTTTTTTTTATGTGTCCCAAGAAACATATTTCTGTTTGTCTCTGTAAGCACATTTCTTGGTGTTGGTTGTTTTGTTATTTTACTGTTGCCACTTTTATTTGGTCCTCAGTATGTCTCTGTAGGACTCTTTGAGTCTGTTCTCTTTGCAGATGGTCTTGCACTCATAATTGGTTGTCTTTAAATGACATGTGTGCTTGATTCCGCCAGGCTGTGTGGAAATCTATGGATTTTTTATGCTTTCCCGCTGAGGCCAACTGAAAAATCAGTCTGTTTGATATGATTTGTTTTTAGACAAGTACAGTACAGTAGAAAATACATTTAGCCAATGAATGATGAATCAAATGAATCATGCCATCAAAATCTGATTTACTTGTGTGCATTTGAACCTAAATTAGCTGTTTTACTTTTGCTAAAGACAGTTATTGTGGCAATCCAATGAATCAAATCCACTTAAGAATTAAAAACCTAATTAAAAACCAACCGTCATATTTGATCACTGACAATTCTGAATATTGGGGTAACAGTCATTTCAATGTCAATTGTGGTTACGGCCCTGGATATGTATTTTTTCGATTTTTGTAATATTTATATTGAGTTGACATAGTTATTTATTTATTTGTAATTTTTCATTATGAAAGACATTTTTCCAGTGTTCAAAAAGTTAATTTATTAAATTATTTAATAGAACAATATAATGACTAATTTAGTGTAATATAATTCAATTAATTTAATTCATTTTAATGCACTTGGAATTTGACTGTCTTTCCTAATACTGTGATGCCTTCTCACCTGTTTTGTTTTAAATTCTGTTTTGAATTCACACTATTGTTGATATGTACTTCCCATTGAGTTGGGTGGCGTTAGAGTCAGAGTGATTGACAGCTGCAGTCCCTGACACTGACTCCACCCCCATCAAACTATTTCTTTCCCCTCTCATGGTTTTTGTTTTTGGCATATGCAGTTTTATAAGGCCAAATCCTGGTGCTCTTTCATGCAGCTCCTCCAACTCCAGCTCTCATTCACCGTGAGTTAATTTACTCTCTGTTCAAATCTCCTCTCCTCCTCTCTGTCCCAGCACACTGCTCTTGCATGATGCCAGACAGCCAAACTAGTCTTGCTGACTAGAGTCGTTCAAAGTGAATCTTGCAGTTTAACTGATGAAATATTATACATGGGTCATGAGAGGAAAACCATAAAGAGTCAAATCAGCGAAGGGTAACATTTATAATAGCTTTCATACCATTCTTTTACAAATCATTAGTTAACAAATATGAGACTACATTGTTTATTTTCAGGTTTAAAAAAAAAAATCAAAGAAGATTTTTTGTTATAGTTTTAAGTAAATGTTCAGAAAAGTTTCTTCAAATAAACCTTTCATGGAAATTGTTATCATGATCATGTAATTTGTAGTGGACAAAAATCAGTTATCATTTAATGGGAACATATGCACATATATGCTTATATTAATATTAAAATCTTCATGAGCTACTGATATTGTTGATTTTTTTTCCTCAGACTTAATGAAAGCAATTATAAGGTGTTTCTGAAAAAGTGTAAGTGTAGACTTAAGGTAAACTATCAGTATTCATCTGCTTCAGTGAAATGCAGCTGCATCAGTGGTTTACTGTATATACTTACTGTACTTTCTTTTCTAAAGTTATGTTTGCCACGTTTCTTTAGCTAGCAGGTCAGGAATGTTTCTGGAAACTCTAGATTAACTGTTCGCTGGGCTCATTGGCTGCCGCTGGCATTGAGCCGTGTTCTGAGAATCGGCCGTCTGTTTCCCAGTGAGCATCACTACTAGAGCTTCTGCTACTGTTAGTGCCTAATGAGTCAGCACTCCTGTCAGACGAGCCCACTGCGAGTGCGTAGACAAACACACACACACACACACACACACACACATATATGCTCTCTCTTACACATACAGGCAGGTGAACTCAGGAATCCAGTACTATACTCTTAATTAAACAGAAATTAGAAACAGACCTTGGCTCACTGTCAAACTTTTGAGAAGATAAAAGTTAAAAGACATTTGTACTCAAGCTAGTAATAGATTTTTTAAATTGGTTTTTGGTGATGTAACGGAACAGATTACCCAAAAACAAAAAGTTTTTCATCATTTACTGACTGTCATACAATTCCAAACCCATACGACTGACCTTTTTAATGGAACAAAGAAGGTGAATGTTTGAAGTATATCCTCTCATTTTCAAATAATAAAAGTGAATGAGGACTAGGGCTATTACAAGACAAAAAAGCATTAGAAAATTGGACATGTGAAGTCATACAATAAAAGGTGTATTTCATTATTTTATAACTTGTTATGATTATTTAATGATACATTTCTTTTCACAGGAACTGTTAACTGCAAATAGTTAGTTTTGAGATGAGTACAATCTGTGAATTAATCAGTCTTTTGATTCATATCTTTTTAATGAATTGATTGTTCTAGTTCACAAAACCAGTCTGAAGGATTCATTCACAAATGGGACATCACTACTTCTCTAATGAACTCACAATATAAAGATTTTCAGTCAATAACATTAAAACATCTATCTGCTGAATGGCTTCAGAAGATTTTAAATGTAGCACACAAGACATATGAAATGCTTTTATTATACTTTTATGGTTAATTTTGGGGCTTGTTATCCTTATTCCTCATTGATTTTAATTATATTTAAAAGAGTGACTATTAAATGATTGTGTTTCACAGAAGAAAAGTCATATGGGTTTGGAACTACATAAGGGTGAGTGAATGATGACAGAATGGTCATTTTTTTTGTGAAATATTCCTCTAATGTTTCAGTTTGAGGCTTTGAGCAGTACTGAAGATTTTAGGGTTGTAGAGAGTCTGGATAAGTTTGCCATCATCTCATCTCTTTCCACTGTTTTGTACATTCTTTAATTTTTCCACCATTCATTTTCCACTGTCTGTCTTTTATACTGTACGTATTTATTCCTTACTGGTTTTCTTGTCAAATGTTTGTCTTCTAACCTGTTTTCTGTTCTGTGGGGGCTCTTAGCGTGTCCGTGTGTATATGTGTATTTCAATGTGTGCTGTATGTGTTTTAGGAGTTATGTCTGCTCCCCTGCACATCACTACTTGAGGTAATGGTACTGCATAGGGCATGACTACTGCTTCGGTACATGAATGGACGTATTTTGCTCATCTGTATAACAAAAGACAAATGCTCATCCTTGACGCACCTCATAGTGTTTGACAATGTGTACAGTATTGGACATTTCAGAATCTTGCCCCTCATTCATTTATACATATGTCAACGTTAACTCATGATTTCATTCTGAACCCTTGGACAGCTTTAAAAAAAAGTCGTTCATCAACTACATTTCACTTTTTGTACTTTAAAGCTGTTGTAAGCAAGTTTTGGTCAATACCACGCTTAAAATGTAGAGTTTGATGAAGATGTGAATAGTTTTTATTAGCCAGAGAAAATTAGCTAAGCCAAAGTTATCAATACTGCTAACACTGTTTACAGCAGCTTTATAGTACTGCACGTTGAGATCATCCACAGTCTTTATTTTTGCTAAGTATGTTAATATTTAATATAAAAGGGGAAATATTGGAACTGTGATAATGATTAGTACATATAATCTGATTCAGTGAGCTGTAGTGCTCATGCAAGTTTTCAGGGCCCTCTCTGCAATCTATTATTATTAACATGGCCAAAAGTCAAATAAACACATAAGGGCAATGCAGATCACACCTTGAGGTCCTGTCATGCAGTAAAACCAGCGAGTTTGCACCACCTCGTCCTGCTTGTCCACAAGAGGTACAGTCTGACCTCAGGACTGTTTCACACCACAAGGCCCTGTTAGTGCTTTAGCTGTAAATAGTGTCTGAAAATCAGTCTCTCAGCTCCCTCCCAGCCTCAGAGAGTGTTCTCTTTCCCATCATCTGTCTACACATTGCTGTAGTTCACTCATGACTCCCTGGAACACGGCCTGCCTGCTAGAGGTGTGCCCAGAATAAAGTAATGTGGAAAAGAGAGAAGTGTAGACGTGTTACCTTTCCCAAGCTGAAGCTTTTCCTTGTCTTTTCTTTACACCAATAACTGTCTTGATTCATGTTCTTTTAATGCTAACTAACTGGATAAAAAATAAGGTATAAGATGACATTACCCAGAAGAGGACAAACATAGGAAACTTCTGTCATCATTTGTTCATGCTCATGTCGTTCTAAATCCAAATGACATGAGGTGTAATTAAACAATGACAGCATTTCTTTTTTGCGTGAACTATTGCTTATTAGGGATCAATAGATATAAAGTCATTAGCCCTCTAAATGCCCTACATTTAAGGTATAGGATGCATGGTTAAACTTCATGACCTAAACCATTGTTCACAAACGTTTGCAGGATGAGTAAAGCATGCCCATAACTAAAGTTTGTAATCTGGCATCCATAAAGACCTTCTTTTTATTTACGCATTGATTAGTTCCAGTCCTCAAATCTGCTTGAAGTAACGCCATTCCAAGAGCACTGACATTTAGTCCAGCAGCACTGGGACTTTTTACTGTTTGTAGCTCTCCACTGTGTTCAGTGTTAGACAGATCCTGCTTTTGGCTTTGTTTAGAGCTATTTTAGTTAGCAGAGGAAAAACAGGCAAAATAACCAGCCATATTATGTCTAAAATGTAAATTATTTCAAATAAACTTGTAATGTTGTATTCGTATCTCATTCATATCTGAATCGAGACCCAAACTAGAAGTAAAACTGAATCAGAGTCAAGACTGAATTCACATGCTCCAGAGTCCATGACAAGATAAAGGTCTTGGTCTTGGTTCTCATGTCTTGAGTCCAAGAGCATATTTTTGTTGTCTTGGTCTTGACTCAAACTCAAGCTCAGTTTTTAAATCAGTAAGGATTTTTTAAAGAATGCAAACAGGCAATCACCATCTTGAAAGGGGGTCTCGACATGGATGGAGACTAACGTCAACATCATGCCTAATTGTTTTATTTAATTGAATCTGTCCGAGGCTTACGCATTTGTTTCCTTAAATCTTCTCTTCACTAGTAAAGAACAGCAGCGTTCTCTAAAGATGATGTCCGTGTGGGAGCAGCGCACCACGCAGATTCGTAAGCACATTCTGGCCAGCAGCGAGGCGTTGTACCAAGAGGAGCTCAACCCCCGGCTGACCTCCAACCTTCACCTCCGCCCTGACATGAAAACCCACCTGGACCGGCCTCTGGTGGTGGAACCTCATTGTGATGGTCCCATCAGTCCCCACAGAGGCTGGGACAAACCCCAGGACTTGCAAGGGGAGGGCGGCACACCAGAGGAACGAGTCCCCCCTGTGATGGAGCCACCACAGTCACACCTACCACGCAAACACCACCCTCACAGGGAGCATCCCTCCAATGAGACCAATGAAAACAGCGACACAGGTCATGGCAAAGAAGGCCGGCATCACATCCATCACAGCCGCAGTAAGGAGCACGATGGAACACGGTGTAAGGAAGGGAAGAGTGACAGGAGCTGGAGCAGAGAGGGGGGCCGCAGACATCACCATCAGAGCTCAGTTGACGAGGGAGTAGGAGGTGGGGAGAGAGAACATCGTCACCATCACTCTCATAGGCATAGCAGAGAGGGCAATGGAGTGGTCAACGCAGGGAAGAGTGAACGGTGGTCCAGGCAGAAGGATGGCTCACGTTCGGGAACAAGGGAGGGGGAGAGGTGCTCCAGGGGCGAAAATGGAGGTAATGGAGGGAGGAGACGGCACAGACCACGTACCAGTAAAGCTCAGTCGACATTGGAAGGAGAAGAGCAACGAGGGAATGAAGAGCACGAGGAGGGCAAGTCACACAGCCACAGGTAAAACTATTTTTGAAAAGGTGCCATTTTTTAAAATTATAAATTAGATTAAACAGCACATTTGTTCCCAAGAAAACTGAACTACGTTCCACTAGCTATGAGACCTTGTCTATTAACGTTATTCCAGCAGTGGAGGAGATTCTGATTCGTCCCAAGAACTCACTTTAATCCATTCAGCAAAAAGATTACGAGTTTGAGTCCTACTTTGTTTCCGATTCAGTTTGCTTCCCAGTGCCTTTCTGAGTCAATCCAAACTCAAAACACCAACTCGTTCATTGAAAAGTCTACTTATTCAGTAGGTCCAACCAATAATATGCTCTGAAATATGAATCACTGCATGGAATTGACAGTGATGGATTTGTTCACCTAAAAGTTTAGTTCAGAAATACAGAGACGTTCATGATCAAAACGCCAATGTGTAACCTCATTTTGACTGCTCTAGGCACACGGACATGGGGGGAGATTCATTGGTTGTAAACCCCTATCAACCTTCAGTTGGGAACCGATGGTGTCTTGAGAAACCAGAAGACTCAGACAATAAACGAAATATTGGGCAGACTGGAGGAATGGGCACACACATACCTGTGACTGTCACGTCTCCCCCTGGAGAAACGACCCTTATTCCCAGTTAGTATTTCTCATACAGACATATCAGGTCACTGTAACAAATCTTTCACTCATTTTATACTCACATTTGTGTGCCACTTTTTTTAAGTGTGTTAACATTGCTGCTGGCAACAAGCCAGTGTTGGTCTAACAAAAGCTTACAAGTGTATAAATTCACACATGACATTTGTTTTTCTTCTCAGTGAACAGTATAGACAGTGAGACAATGCCCATGACTGAGAAGAATCTGGAGGATCTGAACCAGAGCAGCCCTCGTCCAATCCTCCCCTTCAGCTCCATGTTCATCTTCAGCCCAACCAATCCGTAAGTGTGTGTGTGGAAAATTTGTGAGTCCCAATGTTTTCAAAACCATGTGCATTTGAACATTTATCCCAGTGCAGTGTAACAAAAGCTGTTGTCAGAGCTGCAATCTGAACATTACTTTTTTGGTAACTTGACAGTAGCTCACATTCAAAAAGGCTTTCCAGAAATATGCTTTTTTGTCAACAAGTAGTGGTGTAGCATGGCACAGTCAAGTGAGAATATCAAGTATATTCTTGCTTTCAAGTAATGCTTAGACAGTTTGTTATCTACAGTAATTTAAAAAAATAGCTCGTAATGAAATGAAAGTGCTGACAGATCTTTTCCATAGTGTGACATACATTTAAAGCAGCTTCCACAACACAGTTGAGTTTTGTTTTGAGTATTCAGATACGGCATTTGTAGATGGTGATTGGCAAACTACCAATGCTGTTATATCTGCAAATGTTTCTGGTTATTACTTGTCTCAACTGTCACTAATAATGGTTGTAAAGTTTAATTGTGTGTGTTTAAGGTAAACGCTCTTTAAGATCTTTAAGACTAAAAGGCATCCAATCCCATAAACCTCCATATAAAGCTGTGTATTATTGGGCAATTGCCAAATGCAGCTGTCTGTCATGATCCTGTTGGTGCAACAATATAGGAATACTTTTATTTTACTATATACTAATGCCATATGAGTGTTTGTTGACCTGACCATGCCTGTTAAAATCTACGCTATTACTGAATTAATCATTGAACTCTGAGACCTTTCTTATGGCCTGCATGAAAATATTAATTATCGGTGGTTAATTAAATGTATCTGTCTGTAGATTTAAAGTAATTTTTAGGTATCACACTTCATTATGTAATTGCCTTCAGCTCTTAATTGACTCTTTTACTTACGTGTGTTTGAAGTTTATCATTGATCTTGGCTACAAAATACAGAGTAATTTGAGACACCTTTTAGTCCAAGTTCTTGCCCGTATAATCGTACTCTTTTTAAAAGGTTTTACTGTACACTCGTTCCCACTGCATGACAAGAGTATCTTTGTCTTTGTTGTACACATTAAAAGCTGCAAACTCCCACTGATCTGTAATTTCCTTCCTGTCCTTCTCTCAGAGGTGTGGGTCAGTTGACACCACTTTATTGCATGCAATCTCAAAATGTGTGTGTGTGTGTGTGTGTGTGTGTGTGTGTGTGTGTGTGAAGGAGCTAATAAAGGAGTTGTCTGATAAGATCAGCTGTTTGCATCTCCTGTGCTGTAATGGATGGGCCATTGCAACGTTTTAGTATTGAGGAAATGCTATTACCTGCTTTTAGAAACACAACAGAAAATAGAAAGGAGCAGTAATGTTAAAAGTTTTAATTATGGTTCTGGTGCTACGGTATATTGTATTATGAAATCAGTTGCAATTTTGACTTCACATGATGCACCAACCCCTCCACTGCCTGATGCTTTTCTTTCTTTCTTTCTTTCTTAAATTGCAACTGCACGTCGGTATACATTACAGTATATTCATGTACATATATATATATATATATGGGTCTGGGGTGCATTTAATTTTGTGATTTAATTACCCTGTTGACAAGACCAGCATTGCAGTGTTTTGGATGCAGATCCCTGGAATGAGATACTGGTGCTCAGTGTTGGGAAGGTTACTTTGAAAATTTAATAGGTTACAGATTAGAAGTTACCCTTCTTAAAATGTAATAAGTACTTTTCAATTACTTTATTAAGGTAATGTAACTGATTACATTTGATTACTTTTTTGATTACTTTCGATAAATTTCTAATGTTTTAAACTGTTAATAATTTTCAAGCATGTAAACCAGGCAGGATTAACCTAACAGTAGTACTGAGCACTGATTACTGTCAGACTTTCAAAATCCTTCATCACTTGAATTAAGATTATAATATTTAAATTTTAAAGGAGACATTTGATGCGAAATATCTTCATTTGCATATAAATGTGTCTTAGTAGTGTGTAGACACAACCACCATACAATGATAAAAATCCATTCACTCCTTTTTTTTTAATCCCCCAGAAACCTAAACCATTTTCAAGCCAATATGATGTCATATTGCTTAGGCCCCTTCCACGACTGTTGACGTACTGTCCCGTATTAGCATATTTCCACCCTTAGCCAGTTGTACGAAGTCCGTCATTTTCTCCGCACTTGAGCAGCTGTAGCGACAACAATGTCTTGTAAGCAATGCAGGTGTTTTGTTGTTAGATGTAGAAGAATATAAGAGTCCTAATTTTCTCCAGACATCAGAGCAACTGAGGACGCAGTGTATTAGCTTTTGATTTTGATGGTAATGTGCCAACGAATACACCTAAATTCGTTTATGTCTGCGCAAATCATTTTACTCCAGACTGCTTTCTGAATGAGGGACAATTCAAGGCAGACTTTGTTAAAAAGTTAAAATGCAAGGATGGATCAGTACCCATTGTTCATGATCCAGCTGCTCCTCCAGAAGTAGTAAGTCTCACACTTTTTATTTTTTTTATGATTATTTGCGAATCGCCTTTGCTCTTCCACGGAAGAGAGGGGCGGGGTGAGCAGAGCTCATTATCATGTAATGACATATGCACCGAAACGAGTCGCTGTGAACAGAACTGTTTTTGACAAGGTAAAAGGGTGTTGTTTTACATGACCACTGAGATCATTTCAAGAAGACCATAAAGAATCATACCAACTTGTGGAAAATGGGCATCCGATGTTCCCTTTGAAGCACAGCCACCACAAAATCAGACTTACTTTAAGATCATTCTGAGGTTAAAGACATGCAAGGATGGATCAGTACCCATTGTTCATGATCCAGCTGCTCCTCCAGAAGTAGTAAGTCTCACACTTTTTATTTTTTTTATGATTATTTGCGAATCGCCTTTGCTCTTCCACGGAAGAGAGGGGCGGGGTGAGCAGAGCTCATTATCATGTAATGACATATGCACCGAAACGAGTCGCTGTGAACAGAACTGTTTTTGACAAGGTAAAAGGGTGTTGTTTTACATGACCACTGAGATCATTTCAAGAAGACCATAAAGAATCATACCAACTTGTGGAAAATGGGCATCCGATGTTCCCTTTGAAGCACAGCCACCACAAAATCAGACTTACTTTAAGATCATTCTGAGGTTAAAGACATAATTACGCAGCGCCTGAAAATAGTCCCCAGCTAGGTAACTTCCAATGTGACTGGCACTAAGTTTGTGTAGTTGGTTATGTTGACGGAAGTTAGCCTATTTTCAGGCGCTGCGTAATATCATTGCGCCTGCTGCACCCATGGTTCGGCAACAAAGTTCCTTGATTATTACGCCGGAATGAGAGTATAGTTCCTAGCCATATCGGCCTACTTTTCATTTTCCGTCGGTCTTAGTACACGATGTAACTACAGAAGAATCCAAGTTTTAAATAGGAAAAATATCGAAACTCTTTGGTCATTTTTGAGCGAGATGCTAACGGTCTAATCAGATTCAATGATCTATGCTAAGCTACAGCTAAAAGTGCTACTGCCAGACCCGGAGATCGGCTGAATGGATTCGAAAACGGTAAAACTCAACTGTTTAACTCTAGGGGAGTTGGAAATTAGCCTATTTTCAAAAATAGTGGTGTGTTCCTTTAAAAAATAAAGCATTTACATAAACCCATATAGGAAATAAAAGAGTTATCATATAAGCATGTTATAAACTCCTGAAACATTGGTGTTTCATATTTTAGAGCACTTACTGCAATTTATGAAAAAAATCTATCAAATCTGTATGTGGGAGTGTGTTTTAATAAAAACCCCTTTGTAATCCTTAACATTTTCATAAGTAACTGTAATTTAATTACACATTTTTTTCTCAGTAACTGTAATTGATTACAGTTACTTTTATTTTGTAATTAAATTACGTAATTCCGTTACATGTAACTAGTTACACTGCTGGTGCTCTGGTGTCCCCATAAGGCTTCTTAACTAATTTAACCAGCAAGACTTTCTTGGTTAGCCAGCTTTACCTAAAAGATCAGTGCAAAGGGGATGGTTTCCTGCCATGTCACAAGTAATTATCAATGAGTAAGGCAAGCTGAACAGAGAGTGGGTGCAATACTGCTTCGGAATAACAAGGGTATCTCAGAATGAAGGGGTCTCTCAGCTGTACTGACTAATCTGTCCTACTTCCTGTTTGTTTTTATGTTTGTTACTGTGTTGTCATGTCAAAAACGTGTTAAATGTGAGTTTATTGATGTGCTGTCACTGACTTTCCTCTCTTCCTCTGTATCTGCCTGGAATCACTTGAAGGAGCTTCATGGGGTAATGCCTTAACTCTCTCTGTGTCTATGTTTCTGTCTCTGTCTCTCTCTCTCTCTCTCTCTCTCTTTCACTGTTCGTCTTCTTGCCTGTCTCTGTTTGAGTCAAGTAATGCTTAGCCCATAGGCACGTGTTGAAGCATGTGATCTTCTGCAGTGTTTCAGCCTCTCCATAATCCATCATTTAGCATCACTCACACATTTGCAGCCAGTGAGCTTGATCTTCTTCTCCATGTCATTTAATTCTCTGTTGTCATGGAGGGCAGACACTATTGATCTGTTTCATTTCCTTGAAACATTACTACCATTCTCAGTAGGTCTTCAGTGCTTACTGAATATGGAGCATCCTGGGCGATCCCCACATTGACCTCAGACAGGATGATCAGTGCATGTGTCATATCATATAAAAAATGACCTGTTCAGTTGTGTTGGAGTGGCACATCAGGGCAGGTCGGGCTTTTTTGGCCAGTGATTGCACCATCGTTCACTTGAAACATCACATCCGTGCTCCATTTTTGTTCGGATCGGGCATGAGAACACGAACGTATTTCCTGTACATGCTCATCTTTTTGCATGTTTTCGGATTCACGAGAGAATGTGATGCACTGCAAATGTGACTGCTGCGATTGGCCAGATCTTTAAAAGTGTATAAACATAAAAGACAGTTAAAACTATGCATGCACTGATATTAAAATTCTATAATGACTAAATAAATTAAATACAAAGCATAAAAAATTAACAGTATAATGAATGAAAAATGGATATTCATTTTGAGATTTTTTTAGGCAATGTTATTAATTTAGAGTTTTTTTTTAGGTATCTTTTCAAGCTCACTTTCATTTAGCTTATTAAATGTTTTTAGTTATTAAAAAAACATTTTTTTTAAAGATTAACTTGATTGTTAGATGACGACAAAGGTAATCTAAATGTTAAAATATGAGAAATGAGCATGAAAATTTATATATCCAATATCAACTCAACTAAATTTCTAATGCACTTTCAAAAACCACAATGTTCCACCAAAGTGCTGGACATAAAAGTAATCACATAAATAAAGCCCAAAAAACTTTAAAAAATCATACAATTTACAATACATTATTAAAAGCTAAGGAAAATAAATGAGTTTTTAAAGCCCTCTGAAGTGCCCCTAAGGTGGGAGATGTTTTAGGACAGCCGAAGCTTGTTCCCCAGAGTTTAGGAGCTGCCATTGAAAAAGCTCATATTTACATTTCAGGTGCAATCAAGAAACCGTCAGACACATCTGATCATTCGAGCGAAGAGATCTCAAAGGTTGATATAACCTGTTTATTAGCTGATATACTGTATATGCTATACCTACTGATAAATAAAAAAATTTGACTATGAGCCTATAAATGATCTGAAACAAAGATATTATGCATCCCTAGATATAGCATTTTGCCCATATGCCACAGACTGAAACAGTTGTACAATAAAGTACAACAGTAATACTATACAGTTTAGGTTTCTAACCATTTGCTGGCATCTTTCAACCATGCTCAAGGTTCATAAGTGTGATATGAATCAGATCAGGACTGATCTACGGCTCCACCATCACTTTCCTAGATTGGCATGTCTTGGTATTCGCTCCAGATCTTGATTGTGCTGGTTTTCAGATCCACCTTCAGATGTTCCCTCTCTGTCAAGTGTACCCTTCATCTCTCCTACAGCTGTCTCTACAGACTCCAGCAAAAGAAGCTGTCATTCTGTTACATCCTTAAAAGAAATGAACGGCAGTTGGAAGTGTCGGTTTCACCCACCATACAAAGCCTCTTCCTCCTTTTTGTCAGTTTCCAAAACATTTGCCTAAAAAAAAGTCCCGTAATTTCCTGTTTCTCCTGCATACAGTCATCAAAGTCATCATGCCTTGTGTTTCAGCCTCACAAAAGAACGTGATGGTGCTCATACAAGTCTTTTTCATTCTCACTGAAATGTTATGTGCAATGTTCTGAAAAGATTATGTGGTTTACTGTTAGTGCAGAGGTACTTTCTGTTCTCAGCATGTCATAATGTTTTACCTTTTGCTTTGTGTTCTTCTCATTCATTAGATCACTTCAAAGCGTAAACAGGTGGGGAACCCCCGATATTCTTTTTTCTCCTTGATAAATCTTCTCTATTCCTCATTGTCCTGGGCTTACTGGGATAATGTCCTTTACTGTCACTACATATTAGTAGAGTGAGAGTATCTGTACAGGGTTGGAGCCTCTACAATAACACTGATGGCTTTCATCAGAAAATCTAAATGATTTTTGATTGGTGATGTATTGATGCGGAACAGTATTTCTCCACCACAATTGTTATCTGGGGTCCTGTGAAAGTTATCATGGAGTTCAGTAGGACGTTATTGAGGCTCTTTATAGTTTGTAGTGGGTTTGGGGAATAAACATCAGGCCCTGTACAGTAAATGCATGCTAGACTAATGTGCATCAGGGAGCATGGGTGGAGTTGCATGACCTTGTTGAGCCCTAAGATTGGGCCAAAGGAGTAACTTCACCATGCTGACCATGCTGTAAGGTCTCTGCTGATTGGCTGTTAGATTGGTGTTTATTGGATTTATAGAATGTATGAACTGTGCATGTGTGAGTAGACGTTGGCACTTTCTAGGGGTGATGTTGAGCCTTTGCTTAATGTAAATGCTAGAAATCTGCAAATGTACTACAACTTGCTCTTGCACATAGAAAGGTCTGTTGTAGTTGTAGGTCATTTCTTTTGAAATATGTCTATGTGCAATGGAGGGGAATCACTGCTTGGGGATTTTTCTATTGTAAGCATTTTTACAATAATTTACAATAATAAGTTACTCTCTGCTGGTTCATCTGTCAGCACCAATCATATACCTGCCAAAACCTTGTTTATATCAACGCATTATCGAAGTAAGAAACCGTGAATAAATGAGATGCGATATGACCTCAGATATTCTGTTGTTCTCTCTTCCATTGCTGCACTGGAAGAACTAAATGGTACCTGCAAACTAATACAAATGATAATGACCGGCTTACTGTACATTATCCCCCTTATTACACGGCTGCTCATGACACCAAATAAATAAAAACATGAAATATTTGAGCTGAAATTATTTTACATGTATAAAACCACCTTTAAGAGGAAGAATTAAAATGGCATAATCCATTACAATGTACAAAGCAATCCGCCGAGCTTCGAGACAAACACTATACCAATTTTACAGTAATATTAACAGTATACGGAAGTCCTCCAGAGTAATTTTTTACTACAGTGAATAATTGAGATGCAAGATGGCATCAGTTGCGTTTGCAGGCAGTGTAATATGAGAGGCGTAGAAGATGAGCCAGTTTTACAAACAGCGCTGCCGCTGCCATGGGCGGCAGTATGGAAAATCTGGCCTCTGAATGCTGCGATTGACCAATCAGAAGGAAATATTCCAGAGAGCCGTGTAATAATTAGTTGTATATGATAAGTGGGAGAATTAATTATTACAGAAATAGTAATTTATCTGCACTTAATTTTGTCAGACATCCGACAAAACACATGCCCTGCATCAAAATAGGGGCTCAGTGAAGGATATTTGAATGAATATGATGTCTCACAAATAATATGATTTTGTTTGCTCTTTGCCTGCATTAGATATAATGCGAAGGGCTTCAGTTATTTCATATGACCATGGAGTACTTCTTCATGATTCAGTTAATGACTATGCTTGTCCTTGCAGTTACTTCATTAAATGACATTGTAAGCTTGGCGGTTATGATTTGAGCATTTAGGAGCTGAAGCATGACTGATTTCCGCTGAGGACTGCTCTTTTCTTTAAGGGTGAAATAACTTGAATTACATTTTATTTAGCTGTTCTTTTTCTTTTCTTGCTGTTAGCTCTGTGTTTAATGAATACATGCACTGTATTCAAATCTATGCAGTCAGCTCATCAAGGTGACACATTTGAAACATGTCAGCTTGATAAAGACTTAAAAACAAAACAGCATTGGTTCCTGTAAAGAAACAGTGCCCTTTTAAAGGGCGGGTTTCTTTATTATCATTGGTGGCGTGTTGTTGTTTTAGAATCTGATGCACAGCAGCTTTTGGGTTTAATTCATGTATCCTTTCTTATTTTATGCATGAAGAGTGCTAATACTAAAGTATCATTCAATAACAGGCTAACAGTTCTGATGGAGCTTATTAATACATAGATATGAACTATTTTACCTGCATGCAATAAAAATATATGTATTTCATAGTCTGTCATCAAACGTGCTTTTGTAAAATAACATTGAACCATTGTTGGAGCATTTTCAAGCTATGACACTAAACAATGCTAATTTATCAGAGAATTAGCGCTTGGTGTTTATTTAGTTTGTCTATAAAAAGGTGAGTATGTTTAGTCTAGTGTCTCATTGACATTTAAACAGATGGAAACATTTAAATCATGTTTATTCACATTCTCATGTGTTTTGTCTGGATATGTATGAATACTTTGATGAAGGCTGTCTACAGCATGTTTTATCCTGTATTTATTGACCATTTGCTTATTTTGACTTGTGTAGAGGAACCAAGGGCAAAGACATCAGCACTATCAAGTCCCTGAGGGTGTTGCGAGTCTTGCGACCACTGAAGACCATTAAACGTCTACCAAAACTGAAGGTACATTTTTGGTTGCAGTCCATTAATACAGCCATCACAGTTAGGAAATTACAGTGGGGAAAATATTTATTTGATCCCCTACTGATTTTGTAAGTTTGCCCACTTACAAAGAAATTATAAAATGACAATTTTTTATGGTAGGTTTATTTTAACCGATAGAGACAGAATATCAACCAAAAAATCCAGAAAAAAACACATTATATAAAGGTTAGAAATTGATTTGCATTTCAGTGAGTGAAATAAGTATTTGATCCCCTACCAACCAGCAAGAATTCTGGCTCCCACAGATTGGTTATGTGCCCATGTGGAACACCGATTAGTCCTAATGTCCTAGAAGTTACTCCTAATGTCAGCTCGTTAGGTGTATAAAAGACATCTATCCACACAATCTGTATCTTCTATTCCAACCTCTCCCACCATCATGGGCAAGGCCAAAAAGCTGTCAAAGGATGTCAGAGACAAGATTGTAGATCTGCACAAGGCTGGAATGGGCTACAAGACCATCAGCAAGAAGCTTGGTGAGAAGGAGACAACTGTTGGTGCGATTATTCGGAAATGGAAGTAATGCAAAACAACTATCAATCGGCCTCGGTCTGGAGCTCCGTGCAAGATCTCGCCTCATGGGGTAAGGATGATCATGAGATAGGTGAGGTATCAGCCCCGAACTACACGGGAGGAGCTTCTTAATGATCTTAAGGCAGCTGGGACCACAGTCACCAAGCAAAACATTGGTAACACACTACGCCGCAATGGACTGATATCCTGCAGCGCCCGCAAGGTCCCCCTGCTCAAGAAGGCCCGTTTAAAGTTTGCCAAAGAACATCTAAATGATAAATGATTCAGAGAAGGCTTGGGAGAAAGTGCTGTGGTCAGATGAGACCAAAATTGAGCTCTTTGGCATTAACTCGACTCACCGTGTTTGGAGGGAGAGAAATGCTGACTACGAACCCAAGAACACCATCCCTACAGTCAAGCACGAAGGTGGAAACATTATGCTTTGGGGCTCTTTTTCTGCTAAGGGTACAGGACAACTTCACCGCATTGAGGGGCAAATGGACGGGGCCATGCACTGTAAAATCTTGGATGAGAACCTCCTTCCCTCAGCCAGAACACTGAAGATGCGTTATGGATGGGTCTTCCAGCATGACAAAACCGCCAAGGCAACAAAGGAGAGGCTCAAGAAGAAGCACATTAAGGTCATGGAGGGTTCTATCAAATACTTATTTCACTCACTGAAATGCAAATCCATTTCTAACCTTTATATAATGTGTTTTTTTCTGGATTATTTGGTTGGTATTCTGTCTCTATACGTTTACAATTACATTTACATTTAGTCATTTAGCAGACACTTTTATCCAAAGCGACTTACAATTACTGATTGTTCTGGTTTTGTCTGTGAAGAATGTGGCAAAATCATCAGCTGTTGTAGAAGTGGTAGGAGGTGGTGGAGGGGGACAGAGGAGAGAATGGAAAGTTTTGAAGAGATTACTTGTGTCTGGAGCGCTGTTGATCTTGTTGTGGAAGTATGAAGATTTGGCAGTATGGACTTCAGCAGAGAAAGATGAAAGCAAAGACTGATACATACTTAGGTCTGACGGATCTTTTGATTTGCACCATTTTCTCTCAGCTGCCCTGAGTTTGGTCCGATGTTCACGAAGAACATCGGATAACCAGGAGTTCGAGGGGGCAGTTAAAATAAACCTACCATAAAAATTACAGACCCTTCATTTCTTTGTAAGTGGGCAAACTTACAAAATCAGCAGGGGATCAAATAAATATTTTCCCCACTGTATATATATATATATATATGTTTATATATACAAAATACCTTTATACATTTTTGAAAGATGTCTTCAGTGTTACATGATCCAGAAATCACTCTAAAACAGTTGTGAGTCAGGGTAGGTTCAAAAACATTTTTTGTTATGCTAGTTAAAAGTCTCTTCACATCCCAAAAGCAATCACTAGGTTGAGTGGTCTAAATGTATTTATATGTATTTACATTGTCTGTGGAAGGTGTAGGACCATAAAATGTCCTATCATATCCCTCGGTCTGAAGGCTACTAAAGGCTGTCCTACTTTCCTGTGAACATATGTATTTGCATACCTCTGCGCACCCTGTTTGCACAGACATGATATGTTATCAGTGCGTTCCATTGCACTATTGCAGACCGAGCAAGAATGGAAGCCATTATTATTGTAATACAGTATTATGCGCTTTGTACTGTAATGTTTTCTCACCGATGAATGAGACATGAGATAATCTGACAGCGTTGCATTCAACCCTCCAACCTTCTTTCATTGTGTCGCTGGTTAGCCTCTGGTCTTGCACGTTCATGTGTTTTGGAGGAGGCATGGCTTACGGAGAGTGATTTGCAGAGATGGTGGGATCTTATGCTTTTAAAGCTAGCCTGATATTGCTAGCCTCTCCGAAATCGCCTACCCTACCTTTAATATTTTATGGAAACCATGAGAATTGTTTTTAGGATTCTTTGGTAAATAAAAAGTTTGAAAGAACAATTTTATTTGAAATAGAAATCTTGTAAATATATGTCTTAATATGTCTTTTGCAAGTGTGGTAAAAAAGTATTTAGACCTTGCAAGAATCTAAACAAAATCTCAACAAAAAGAATCCCACTTTTAGGCTGACATTAAGAGATACAGAGACAGACATTTATCTTTCTCTTACAAACACTTGAGGTGTTTTTAGTGTTTAGTGATATGATACGGTACCTTCAATGAAGCCAGCCATGTAACAGCTGCAGATGTCCAGGTAGGGAATTGTGACAGGATTAATGCATGTGCCTGCGGTGGACCACATACACCTAAATACACACACAGAAACAGGTATAGATTCATACACTGACACACAGTGACTAAAGACATACATGGAGACAGCCAGCCCCATGGAAGAGCAGTCAGCAAGATGTTCCTGTCCCATTTCCTCTGAGGCCCCATTAGACAGACCCAGTCGTCTGCAGAGCCTGTGCTGTTTCGCTCTCTCCCTCTCCATATGCCAGCCTAACATGAGTCACAAACTGTGGTAAAAACCCAGATCTCAGGAGAACTCATTTATCATCAACATTCACGGCAACGCAGCCAAAAAAATATCAGCGCCATTAGAGGTCTATTTTCTTGTTCCTCCACAGGTTAGACGGTGTTTTCCAGAGTTGTCACTGCTATTTGTATGATTTGTTTTGATTATGAGAGAGAGAATGTGACTTCAGAAAGCCTTTTTTCTGAAAGATAAAGATGGACAACAGTAGTTGTGTGTGTCCGTTATGTGAATTTATTCCTCTTTTGCTGTTTTTCCTCTCAGAGAGCGTGCATCGACTTTGCTATCAATGCCAAACCTCTGACCCGCTATATGCCACAGGACCAGCAGTCCTTTCAGTACCGCTTGTGGAAGTTTGTGGTCTCTCCACCGTTTGAGTACTCCATCATGATCATGATTGCTCTCAACACTGTGGTGCTCATGATGAAGGTCAGTCAGACAGTTCTAATTTGTTGAGATAGTGAATTGGTGGGTTTTTGTTAAATCTGAGCCAAAATCATCACAATTAAAAGAACCAAAGACTTAAACTACTTCAGTCTGTGTGCATTGAATTTATTTAATACACGAGTTTAACAATTTGAGTTGAATTACTGAAATAAATGAACTTTTCCACGACATTCTAATTTCCAGTAGTTCACCCAAAAATGAAAATTACTCATCCTCATGTCGTTCCAAACCTGTAAGACCTTCGTTCATCTTCAGGATACAAATGAAGATATTTTTGATGAAATCCGAGAGCTTTCTGACCCTACACAGACATTAACAAAACTAAAATGTTCCAGACCCAGAAACGTAATAAGGAAATCAGTAAAACAGTCCATGTGACATCAGTGGCTCAACCGCAATTTTACAAAGCTACGAGAATACTTTTTGTGCACAAAGAAAACAAAAATAACGACTTTATTCAACAATTCTTCTCCTCCAAATCATGTATTCCGCCATAATCGAGAGTACTTTTGCACGTAAACAACGCATGTGCTGAGCCTTGTTTGGGTGCAGAGGAAAGCGTACACATGTGTCATGGTATTCTGCACGATGCATATGTAGTATTCTCATAGCTTCGTAAAATGACGGTTGAACCACTGATGTCACATGGACTGTTTTACCGAAGTCCTTACCACGTTTCTTGGCCTAGGAACATTTCAGTTGCATTGCTGCCTATGCAGGGTCAGAGAGCTCTATTATCTTAATTTGTGTTCTGAAGATGAACGAAGTTCTTATGGGTTTGGAATGACATGAGGGTGAGTAATTAATGACAGAATTTTCATTTTTGGGTGAACTATCCCTTTAAGGTCTTATACTATAATACTGTTATGCATGTTTTAGGATCCGGAAATAAAAACTTAATGTTAAGAGATATGAGGGTTGAAGTAAAGAGTGCTGACTGCTGAGTGAGTAAATTAGGAGAAATTAACTTTCATATTGACAAAGCCTGTGTTCCCACAGGACCGTCTGTTGAACTTGAGCTTCCTGAGGCTCTTCAGAGCAGCCAGACTCGTCAAACTCCTCCGGCAGGGATACACCATTCGCATCCTGCTCTGGACATTCGTCCAATCTTTTAAGGTAACTCTATTTAGACTATTTATTTGTTTTGATATTGCTTGATATTAATTGTTGAAGAGTTTTTTTTTTAACAAGTCATGATTTCTTCATGTTTATTTCCAGGCACTGCCTTATGTTTGCCTTCTAATCGCCATGCTGTTTTTCATCTACGCCATCATTGGAATGCAGGTATCTGTAATTTAAGTGCATCACTGATGGTATTTTCCAGTAAAAAAATCATTGCACTACTCTGTGTAGTTTACTATAGGCAAATTAAAATACAGAAATGGTATTCTGTCTAAAGGTTTAATGTAACTGTTTCAAAATACATGCATTTAAAGTAACTGTATTGTGATTCCAGGTGTTTGGGAACATTGAGTTGAACGATGATACCGCCATCAATCGTCACAACAACTTTCGCACTTTCCTCCAAGCGCTTATGCTGTTATTCAGGTCAGCACATACCTGATATTCTTTAACTACTACAATCAAAGCCACCTGAGAATGCAGGAAATCTTAGAGAAGCTTCTGGGGTTGTATAACAGAATCTAAAGTCTAAAAGTCTGACACATTATGATGCAGATTAGATAGGATTTTAGAGTTGGAATGTTTCTGAAATACAGCCCCTGAACACTATATTTAGCCAGATCTTTAAACATTAATAGCGCACATTTTTCTAATGCAATTAGGGTTTTATGGAGAGCTGTATTTATAATTGATCAAGATCTTTCATAGTCAAAAAATATTACTGTATAAAGTATTAAAATGGAATGGAATCAAAGGTCCTATCTATCTATCTATCTATCTATCTATCTATCTATCTATCTGTCTATCTATCTGTCATCTTGATTATTTGTAGTACTTGGTATCACTGTGTTTACAATCGCTCTGTTGTGCTCCTTCTCTCTCTGGTCTCGCCTTTTGGTCAGATTGAATTTTAAAGTACCATCTGGAGTATCAGCCATATTGATAAAAAAAACATTTCATTCTCCTAATGAAATTCATAAATACATTTCCATTTTTCCCTTATGTTCATTACCTCGAAGCTTCCTTTGAGCTGAGAGCCATGAGCAGACAGCACATCAGTGTGACAACAGTGTTATAAATGAAATCTGGCTCAACTTTAATTTAAATATCAGCACTTTTCCCATCATCTCCAGTCTGTTATATTCTCTGACAGTCATTCCCGCTTTTAATAGCAGATGCTGCATTTATTCACTCAGCTCATCATCATGTCTCTTGCAGGAGTGCCACTGGTGAAGCCTGGCATGAGATTATGCTGTCCTGTCTGAGTGAGCGCACCTGTGACGCAAACTCAGGCATTCATGGAAAGGAGTGCGGGAGTGACTTTGCCTACTTCTACTTTGTCTCCTTCATTTTCCTCTGTTCTTTCTTGGTTAGTGCTCAGAGTCGAACCAGCCAAAACAGGTTTATCATTACTAGCTGTGTTTCCATCCACCTATTTTTATGCGCATTTTGGACTATCGCATAAAAAAATCGCTGGATGGAAAGGCCAAGATGCGCATAAAAAAACTTTTTATCCGATAAGAAAAAATTCACAAAAACTACGATAGAAACACATTTACCGAATAAATTCCTCCATGCACATCGAAAAAGTCATGTGACTTTGCGCTATGAGATGGGATAACTTGACTAACCAGTGGACTGATCTTGTTCACAGCATCTATATGTTGTTATGGTTATTCTGAAATGCCTGAGCAAAGTATGTCGTCAAAGTATTTCTGTATCATTGTCTTACACGACTACATTTACAAACAGCTGGCATCTACCTCCGAAAAGCAATGACTGGGGCACAAGTAATTTATCATATATGAAAATTATTATATTCAGTGGCTTCTCCTAGTTTTCTTAGTGATATTTAGTGCCAGTTTACCAGGAAGTGACGATTTTGTTCTCTTTGACCCGTTGGATGGAAACGGTGCTTTATTCGCAAATGTTTTATGCAATATTCCAGTTATGCACATAAGTTTAATTTGAATCTTTGGATGGAAACATAGCTACTGTAGCATGCCATCACATTCTACTGCCACAAAACTGCTTGTTTATCTTAAATCTAAAAACCTGGCTAAATGTGATGCTGAAATATTCCATTGTGTTTGGAATAGGGCTGGGTAGTTATGTAGATTTCCTGATTCGATTTGATTCTTATTTACAAGCTCTAATTTGATTCCGATTCAGTATGCTTTAATTTAATTTTGATTCATTGGGCATTTTTCAGCTAATCAGTTAGTCACATTTATTAAGTGCTGTGAAAGTTTTAAACAGACAACAGCAAGGATGAAACACAAACACAATGCACAATAAAATGCCACTACTATATCTACTAATGACAATGCAAAAATGACAAAATTGTCTCTTCTAATGCTGTAAATTATTCAGGGCAGTGTTTCATAACGATTCAAACTGGTAAAGGAGCATCACACTACACTTTTTTTTTCCATAGACTTCCATTCATATGCATAGGAATAGAAAGACCCGGAATCACAAAGTCATAAGAAGTTTGAAAAATATTTTTGTGACCACTCCTTAACTTTTTTTTTTAAAAACTATTCATTAAAAGAACCAACTCATAACAGTCACTTGGTTCAATAATGGTGCTATACTGTATGTTTTTGTTTCTTTAGAAAGAATCAGTTTATGAGAGTAATTTGATCATGAATCGGACTGCATTGGTCATGTTGCATTATTTTTGCATGCAGTCCACCCAAACAACTCAATAGAAAGACATTTATATGTAGTCTTCAAATTTAATACGTACTGCAAACTCACATTTACGACTGAGGTAAAATATTTCATTGATTCTAATTATTTCTTTTGCCATGGTGCTGAAGATGAGGCTTTCACTTTTTTTTTTTTAAGACTGTGATTAATCAGAAAATCTATATTTTTACCCAACCCTAATTTGCCCTAATTAATGCCATACTCACAGATAGTTTTTCCTGTTCCATGACCTTCAGATTATTTTCTCCCACCACTTTCTCCAGATGTTGAACCTGTTTGTGGCTGTCATTATGGACAACTTTGAATATCTTACACGTGACTCCTCCATCTTGGGCCCTCACCACCTGGATGAGTTTATCCGAGTGTGGGCGGAGTATGACCCAGCCGCATGGTATGTTTCAACCTGCACTCCCCCGCCAGATGGAGACCTACTCTTGTGATGAATATAGTAACTGAGTTTGGCAACAGTTGAGAGAAGGAGAGTCATTCTGTTAGGACTCAAAGGCCTTCTCAGGTTAGACCACAGAAAAAAAGAGAGAGAAATGCAGAATATTCCCTTTGATAATGTGTGATTGAAGATCTCCCACACAATGCCCGTCAGAATTGTGGTCTGGATGTGAATGGGATCTTGTACTCCTATCCACATCCATTCTTTCCACAACACAAATGTGCTCTCCAAGCTTTCTTCATGAATGTGTCATGTTTTGCTTGTTCTTTCCGCAGCGGACGGATTTCCTATAAGGATATGTACAATTTGTTGCGAATTATCTCGCCCCCCCTTGGCTTAGGGAAGAACTGCCCTAATAGGGTAGCATACAAGGTTTGCAACCCAAGCAACTTCTTCCACTTGTGTGGCCTCTGTGTGCAAATGCCCAGAGACCCAACCTTGAATGGCTGTGCTCAAATGACTTGTCTACACACAAGCACTTGCCCCACCAGATTTGACTGGCTTTGGTTAATCATGCTGGATGGGAAACAAAGCTTTCAAGGCCACATATCAATCTAAAACCTCCTTTTATAACAACTTGCACAGTTGTCATTTTCACAATTCAGGGTGTTGGCACTAATGTTACATTATCAATCAATATTGTCACATTTATAAGTCAACCTCATAGCTATTATTTGCATAAACCGTTCAAATGAAATAGAACAGAAACTGGCGTTGAAACCTTTGTTTCAGTGCACTGAAAGAGGAAACTCCCCTTGATGTCTCAGCATGCAGATGCAGACATCTTCCAAACAATGCAGCCATTCTGTCACCATCCACTCCTCGTGTCATCTCACTCACCTCTTCCATCTCTCCTTATCAGGGATCAACTCTCTCACCTCTGACCTCTAACCTTTGGGATCCATCTCTGACCCTGCTAGGCCAGGATGGCATCCCTGTCCATGACACTCTTGGAAATCTAATTAACAAAAGATTTCTGTTTTTTTGTCGTCTGTTGTTTGTCTTTTTTTAATTTCGTCTTGTTCGGTTTACTTTCTGCCCTCCTTGTTTCTCTTCCCGTCTCTCTAACCCCCCATCCTTTTCTTTATTTTGGGTTTTTTGCGTTGTCTGCACTGTGAAGTGGCCGTATCAAGTACCTCGATATGTATGAGATGCTGCTCCACATGTCCCCACCTTTAGGTTTGGGAAAGAAATGCCCTCCACGAATCGCCTACAAGGTAGCTCAACTTCACATGCCCCCCTCTCCCTGCTCGTACTGTCTTCCCATTGGCTTATTCTTCAGCCAATCTCTGTGCTCTTGCAGTGTTTCCCAGTGTTTTTTTTTTTTGTAATTTGTTGAACTTTTTTTTTTCTCCCCACGCTCTAATCTTTTTGGTGTAGTCCCTCTCCCTTTTTATTCAAGTCTTCCCCTCCACTTCCTTTGTAATCTAGGGATGGTCACAGACTAATGATGAGTATGACTGCAGAACTTTAGTTTATTTCATGTTTAACTACGAACCAGATTCATTGGAAATACATGCCTATTTTGACATTTATGCAAAATGATGTTACATCTTGCACGTTTTGAGACACTACCAAAGTTAAATGTCCAGTGAGTGACATTAAAATTCAGTTTTATGCGAAACAGTTAAATGTTAATCTAACAATGCTTTAGTACATTACGTGATATACATATCGCAGCAGTTACAAAATAAAATGTCTGATAAGTGGTGCTAAAATAATAATGCTCTATCACATTTGAAAATAACGTACCACCAATGCAAAACCCTAACTCATAGTGATACAACACATTTTCTACATACACCATGCCAACAACCATTTTAGCTTGCTTCTGCAAGTCTTTGAGCTCTTTTTTTGTGACTCATATTTCACGGAGCTCGTACCTGAGTGCTCCATATTGAAAATGCAACACTGTACCAGGTGAGCTAGTGAGCAAGTTTACTAAATCAAAAAGCCATACGGAGCTGGTTATGTTATGTAAATGTCAAAATGTATTAGTCTACAAATCATGCATTATGATAAAAGTGTTTTGGGGTCATGACGGGGTATTGGGTAAGGAAACGTGCAAAAAATAAGTGTTTATTGATCGATAACCTGCCCCATAATCATAATTTGTGTAAAAAAGAATAAAACTACCACTAGTGTTAAATTTAGCTGGAAATGGCTGCGAATGGTTTGTGTATACAGTAGGTAAATTTTTTGGAGTTTTGCAAAAATGTAGGTAGAAGCATGTATTTCCATTGGGCCTATGTTGTTTAATTATGATGATAATAAGTGAGACTTAAATCTAATTTTTATCTGTGGTCATACTTCAGGTGTATACAATTTTCCCCATAGGTTGCATTGTGTAAGGGTTTGTGCACAACATTGTAAAAATGATTTTCGTAAATGCAAAATAGTTTCTGTAAACTAAATTTACTTAAAACATGTGCCCAATTGCTCTTTTTGCGGGTTTCTATGTCTTTGGGATTTACTTGAAGGCCCCAAATCTAGCTCAAAAACCTCTTTTAGAGCCTTTGTTATATTAGAATAGAAAAGGTCCCCTATTCTCACCCTTGTTTCATGGAGCAGTGTGTGTGTAACCTAAGTTGCTTTCAGTCATGAGAATTTTGCACTTGAACTCTCTTGTCTTGGCGGTCTTTCACTTATTCTCCTCGTCTTGCTTGTGCTGTCTTTCTCTCATCCACTTGACCATTTCCTCTCTCTTTTCTTTGTCCTGTATTCTTCTCTCTCTTTCTCTATGTCTGCAGTACGTTAGAATGTATGTCTGTGTGTGACAATGTCCACCTATTTTTTTTTCATTATGATCTGTTTTTCTTGCACTGCTACTGCTAGTTAAATGTATGTTCTCTTTGCTCAGGGGAGCTCAACTCTTCACAATTAATCACACTAAACCATACTCCCATGATACATCTGAGTTGTCATGTTTAAAGGTGCACTCGGTAATTTTCCACTTAAAAACCATACAGAAATTAAAGGGGTCATATGATGTTGCTAAAAAGAACATTATTTTGTGTATTTGGTGTAATGAAATGTGTTTATGTGGTTTAAGGTAAAAAAAAAACATTATTTTCCACATACTGTACATTATTGTTTCTCCTCTATGCCCCACCTTTCTGAAACGCATCGATTTTTACAAAGCTCATCGTTCTGAAAAGCGAGGTGTGCTCTGATTGGCCAGCTATCCAGTGTGTTGCGATTGGCTGAATACCTCAAGCGTGTGACGGAAATGTTACGCTCCTTACCATATTGTGATGATGTCCTGTCAGGCCGGAGCGATGATTCAAAAACATGAAAACCCATTATAAACGAGGCATTAGTTGCATCCAGTGGGGACATAATTATGGATTATAATGACTTATACTGTCTTTTTACGCGTTGCGTTGCATCGCGCCGCATAAACATAAAACCATGTCTGCATTTCTGATCAGAGAAATGACAAACAACAAGCCCTACTCTACACTGCCCAAAAAACTCGCTTTAAATATATAAAATATAAAAACTCTTTAAATATAAAAAAACGTACTTGCAGTCTTTGAGTCAGAACAGCCGGCATTGTAGTCTACTCTACGAGGATCAGGAAACTGTCCTCCATAAAATGCGCTACACACATATGAATATTTGGGAACAGTGTTGTAAATACAACTTAACCACTGATTTCTAGTCGTGTCCATTTTTGGAAGGCCAAACAAAGTAGTTTCGCTTTCACAATGAAACACAGCGTCACACACAGCGGCCTACAGTGAGCAGAGGCCGGGGGCTAGGGTGAGGAACGGCTGGAGGGCTAGAGTGAGCAGAGGCGGGTGGGCTTGAGAAAAT